TCTTCATATACCCACAAAATACCAGCAATTTCACTTTCAACATTTTGATAATCGCATATCGTTTTGGCATATGATTTTTATTGATTTGAAACGTGCTAAACTTGTATATCTTATCTGCAGAATAACTACAATACATATGTATGCACGATTTATGATATATGGTCTGGCGCACTCAGCGCACTCATAAATCAATGAATAGTCGTTTGGGTTTATTTGGGTTCCAAAAGTTCAATAAAACGCAAGTGCCCCACAAATTAAAGTGTGTCCCCAGAGAGCTCTCCAAAGTTAGGTTTTAAATCATTGGATTTATAGGATTTGTGGTAATTATTCGTTGAGCTGCTTTTAAATCTCGTTCAGATTGACGTTTCTATTATTAAAAGTTCTTCAAATGGCTAATAAAGTGGCTTGGAATTGCTTATTCGACTGCAGAGATATTGAGCTGTGAGTGCGGATATGTTTTGTGTTTGATTTGGAATCAGTTACATGTCCTTTTGGGTGTCCATCTGTGGTAGAACCCTTTTGGGAGAGCTCTATCTCGTCTGGTACTTCTATGACAGCTGTCTTGCTGCCTTTCGTTCTATGTACGATGGCTGTTGAAGCTGTTTTTCTATGTTGCGATAGCTGTCCATCTGTGTTTACCCATTGTCCCCATTGATAGCTGTAGCTGTTCTGCTGTAGAGAGCAGCTGTCCATCTGCGATAGCGGCCCATTGATATTAACAGTGCTGATATTTTTATCTCTTCCTCGAAAGCCCGCTATGCTAGCTGGTTCTTCTTACGAGTATATGATAGTACTTTTGGTACCCTCTCTTCTCTCTTCTCTCTCTCTTCAGTACTCTTTCTTCATGGTAGCAGTCCACCTATGAGAATTTTCCTTTCAGCAGATCTGTTGGCATACAATGGGAACACTCCGCCAAGGGAGTCATTCCAATGAACACAAAATAAATTCTGGGCCCGTAGTAATTTAAGGGGGGATTTATCTGGTAGCCACTGTACTTTCTGTCTCTCTCTCTCCCTCTGTGTGTGGTGGTGTGTCACAGTTGTGGGTGGGTGGGTGGCACGGGCAGGCTGCTGCTGCGACTGCGAAACCGGCTGCAATTTTTAATGAACTTGGGGCTTTAGGGTCTGGGCCCTGGCTGAGTGGAACAGCTGTTTCCTGCCACTGCAACCGACTTTCGACACACACACAACACACACTTACCGCGGCAAGTGTTCGCCGGGCAGTCAAATTACCGTTATTTGTGGAGGGAGCATGGCGCATGCGCCCTGCGTTCCACCGGGAAAAGCACAAATTCCACACCACAGCAAAAAAAAAAAAAAAATATAGAGAAAACGGAGAAAAGTCGCGTCCAGGCACGCGAAAAAAAAAGAACGTGTCAGGAAAAACGAGATTACACTTTTTGCGGCACGGAACGTCACTCTGGCGGCAGCAGCAGCAGCAGGGCCATGCCGAAGCCAGTCAAGCGGCATCACATGCTGCTGCCCCTCCCCCCCGCCACAAGCAAATTTTTTTGCTGGCTCTGCCACTGTTTGCCCCTTCACTTAGCACCACGAAACGCAACGCAACGCCAAACGCAACGTAAACGCAAATTTTCGAATAATCACCGCTAATTAGCGCAGAAAAAAATACAAAATACAACAGCAAAAAAAAGAACAGCACATGAGAAAACTAATAGGTGGGGTACGTGAGGCGGCGCGCGTATTCCCCCCTGCGAGTGAGTCTGGGAACCGATGGATGGATGGATGGGTGAATGGGTGAATGGATGTATGAATGATCCAATGATGATTCGTTGATTCGTTGATTCGTCGATGGGGTGGAGAGGGGAGGAGCACTCACCGTTGGCATGAATATGATCTGTGTTGTTTGGTTGGACATGCTGATACATGACTTGTCACAGTGCCCCGATGTCGTCACTTTCATGTCACTTTAAACACTGCAGGAGAATGAAGGCGTCCGCGTTGGGGTCTACGTATTTATAAGGCGCCGGGCATCTAGCGGCTCTGCCGCGCTCTGTCGCTGCCTCAGTCGCTGCTTTAGTCGCTGCTTCAGCCGCTGCAGCCGGCGTTGTCACCAGCAGCAGCTTTTCACCCAGCTTTTCTCTGCAGAGGCTCGCGCGCTCCTTTTGCATGCACAAAGCCACAAAGCTTTCGCCCGCTTAGCCGGAGAGCGAGCGGACAGGAGAGCGTCAGAGAGCGAGCTTGCGTGGGCGTTGGGACAGAGGGCTAGCGAAAGGGCCCAGGGAGTTAGCAAGAGAGAGAGGGAGACTAGCATGATGGAATGGGTTTGAGAGAGCCAGATTGGAGAATGGGATCCAGAGAGTGGAGAGAAGGGTGGACGGCATTGCAGAGTGGGACTCATGCGTAACGTTACGTGACGTGACATCGTGACGTATATGGGGGCTGACTTATACATATATAAAATATATGCAAGCAGCACCCGATCGGAGAAATGCAGCATGAAATTCTCAAAGAAAATCAAATTCCACACCCCAACAATTTTAAAGAAATTTATTTAACCACTTAAGGAATTTCAACAATTTTTCCAAGTAACTATCTTAATTTTATGGAGATTTGAATAGTTTTAAATCAATTTAAAAGTTTATTGAAATTTCAAAAATTTTAATGGTATATCAAAACTTTTTCAAGAACCATTTGCCATTATAAATAATGTATAAGTATTTAGAGTAATTTCAATAATATCAAGAAAGCTTTCAACATTTTTAAAGATATTTCTAAACATTTAAGAAGGTTCTATAGTTTTTAAAGAAATTTCAAACAATATTCAAAGTAAAAACAATTAGTAAAGAAATTTCAAGAATTAAGACGAACTTTCATCAGTTTTCACACATAAAAGAAAATTTCCATTATTAATTGGCAAGAAATTTCAACAGTAAATTTATAAAAATTTCCAACTAATACATATAAACAAATTTCAATGGTTTGAAAGAAGTTCCAATAATTTTGCATTAATTTTAATGCTTTGAAGATTGTTCTGAAGCTTACACATATTTTAAAGCATTTGCCATATAAAGTTTAACAGCTTATACCGAAAATGTTCACTATTTACACACATTGCAAAGAAATTTCGACAGTCTTAAAGAAATTTCCACAATATTCCACTCGGTTTATAGAAATTTAAATGGTTTTTTCCTATGGTGCAGTTAAAAATAGAAGTAGTGCCGACCATGCACCCATGCAGCACCAGCACAATGCAATTGCTAACCAAATTGAATCATTTATACGAGTACGAGTATATAGTCATTATTATCAAGTTGCACCCACAAACGGATTTACTATAATATACATATGTACATATGTGGACCGCCTACACTCTTCGGTCGAGTTCGATATTAGGTTTCTATGCCGCTTTGGGTCTTTATTTATTTACTTAGCGGCTCCAGCTGTCTATTCTCAGCATTTCACTGGAAAAACTGAATTAGGTATACGAATGGGTAGTACTTGTATGCAATCTATAATTATATTTATTTATTTAAAATCAGAGACTTTTTGGAATTTCTACTAAGCTTGCAAAACAAATGGGCTTCAGAGAACATCCTTAAAAATTGCAATCCTTTCTTTAAAAAAAACGGATTATAGATTTATTATTTTGGAATCAATCGGCCAGTCAACAGATATTTTAATATCATATGCAAACGATTTAGTAACCCAATTTTCTATTGGCCACTTTAGTGTAAATATAATTTGACAACATCCTTTCTTGAGGCATAAACAAAATGCTACACTTTATTGGACTCTGTTTTGCTTTGTCGAATTTGTGTTCTGCTGCTGCTTCTGCTTCTGCCTGAAATTCCGATTGCGTAGGAGGAAAAGAAAGAAAATAAAAGCATTACCCAGCGATAAAAACTAGCCTCATAGATACCCTAACAGTTTAAGACCTTCTAGGGCTATGGCCTCTACTTTTAAAGGGGTTGTAATTTTCGAAGTTTTTAGCCAAAAAAAGAAATTAATTTCTTATGGGATTCTGTCGCTTGAGATGGCATCTCAAGAAGTATAGATTATCTGAAGGGAAATATCAAGCATTAGAACATATTCCACACTTTGCAGGGGAAGATTTTAAACTAGTTCCGGACTGTCGAATCCCTGCAGCAAATTACGCACAATTAATGGTGAATTTTGAGGCTGATCAAGAATGAATCTATATAAATATATGTGTGTATATTTTTCTCTGCGCTGAAAGGTACTTCGATAAATTGGAATACTTTCTGTGTGGGGTGCCCCAAGCGTAAGCCAAATAGAAAATGCTGAATATACAACATTCCAATTGCTGTTTTTTCTCTTGTTTCGCTTTCACTGTTTTGCCTTTTATACCCTGCACTCGTAGCTTGCAGGGGTATATCTGATACGCGTAGCTTACACTCTTTTGTTCGCTCTTACACGAATAGTTCTGTAGATCTGAATACAGGACATATCATAGGCGGAACAAATAAAATTGAATCGATTAATTAATTTAAATTTGTTTGTTTAACATTTTATGGGGGTGGTGTCATGTAATCTGAGCTTATATCTTGTGGCAGGTTTCTACACATTTTATAGGATGTATTGAAACACCTCATAAATTCAATTCAGAGACACTCTCGACATGATCATTAGATATTTTCTAAGGAATATTCATATTTCAAAAGATATTTAACAAAAGGTTAATTGAGCATAGAAAATGATTTAAAAAATGAATTAAAATTATTGCTTTAACCTTAGCATATCTAGGAATATGTCCCCTACTCTCCAATGGTATCTTAGGAGTATCCAGTGGCTAAAATGGCTCTGGAATCGAGCACAATTGGTAGCACACGTGCTCCTCAGCTTGTTTTTTTAAACATCTGAAATTACAAGTTCTCTTTGGTGCTGACACAGGCAGGGACTTTGTCAGAGTTCAAGCTTCTGCGGCCCCATAAATATAAAACAGATTCCGATATAGAAAAGTTGTTTCTTACTGTCAGTTTTTAAATCGTATAAAATGCTTTTTTCAAGCTTTTTCACGCTGCCAGCGTCTCCAGCGACTGTTTCCGCTGGGCTGTGCTGCTGTTGTTCCTCAGGCTGGCCACGATCGTGGAGCATGTGGCAGCTGCAGCTTGGAGTGATTGTTGGCCCTCGTACTCGCTCCATTAGCGCAGGAATCACCTGCGGTTGGTCTGCTTTTTGCCAGTGTGTGGTATCTGCAGAACGATTGAAGCATGATTTTATGCATAAGTGATTTCTGTTCAGCTGAAGATCTCACCAGTGCAGACTTCAATTACTTCTCATGCTGCCGAAAAGCGTCCCAGCAGGTGAATCTGTTCTTCTGGACACAGTACTCGCCCCTGGGGCGACGGAAATGTACGAACAGAATGGGAATAATTTCGTAGTGGAGTGCCGGGCACAGCAACTAGGGATGTGGACATCACGACAGCCATGTCCTCTTTTTTTTTAGAGATTATTCTGGCGGATGTGGTGCGACTGGTGGCAGTCGTTGCTGCAATGGGCGACTGCAAGATATATGTATAAGGTTTTATTACTGCTTTAGCACTTTAACAGTCTTGGCCTGGCATCAACTTACAGACGATTCAATATGTCGGGCAATCGCAGCGCCACGGGAAATATTGGACGCCATGGGAAGCAGGACGAAGCCATGGCATAATTAAAGTTACCGGACATTGTGGCCGCTTGATCTTACACTTCTTGCACTCCTGCAGGATGAAAAGAGTCCGCGCAACACGTAGAAATTCCAAACGCTTAAATATGTATGTATGTACATCAACAAATATCCAAGCAGCTGCGCAGCAATCGATAGTAGCAATCGATAGTAGCTGGCGATACATTGCGGGTGGCAGCGCTGCACCAAGTGTGGCGCCAAACATTGTAATTTTGAAATGAAGCGCAGCTGATTCCAGAAAAAGTACTATCACTAAAACAGCAACTTCTTACCACACAGCGAAGCAAACAAAAGCAATCAATGGGGCTGCTTTATTCAATCGTTTGGTAAATGTGGACCTACAATATTAACAAGATGGAGCTGCCAGATCATCAAATAACGTTGAATAATCGATAGCAATATGCCAGAGTGGCCAGAGAGAGCGCCGAATGAATGTACCCGCCAACCGTTAATATTTTGAAACTGGAATTCAAATGTGTTCTGCACTGTACAATATCTATTTATTATGATTTTCGTTTAATATTTAAGTTTAGTCTGTGAGTCATGCATCTTAAATGATAAATTATTGCTTTCATTATGTAATTTGCTCCTCTCAATTGTGTTCACAAATGCTTAGACTGGGCTGACAGGAATCTTATATCTTACCAGAAAATAATACAAATCGTATATATATATATATATAGTATACATATATGGTATATAGTAGATTACATAGATTACATATACATATAGATACTTTCGCGTGTGTGTTGGTGTGTTGCTCGGATTGTTTTGCATAACAATTAAATAAATTAAATATCGCTAATTTGATCTTAAGCTGCTACAAAATCTGTTTTTGAGCATCAAAGTCAAAGAAAAAAAAAACAAAAAAAAATTATTATTTGAAGTTTTCTTTCTTTCTTTTCTTTCGTTCTGCTTGCCGTTAAATTCTTAAACGTAGGCGCCTAGAATCTACATACACTCGAGGGTGGGGGGGGACAAGAAATACGGCTTGGCTGGTGGGTGGGGGATGTTTGTGTGGCTTACGCACAGGTGCGCGCTCTCCTTTGCAGTCGCTTCATGCGCCGATACCAGTCCTCCTTCCATTCAATAACTATCGAGTGCGGCCCAATGCCCAGGTAACCAGGTGGCGCCTCCGAATCTCGTCCCAAAATCAAATAGGATCTGAAAATAGAATAAACCCGCAGACCGTGTTAAGCTCTGCCACTTTCTGTGTGTGTCTCACGACTCACCTGTTAACTCTGATTTTGGGGCAGCGACACTCCAGATTCTTAATCGGTATGATCCAGGTCATAGGACCTCGTTTTAGCATTGTATTCGGCATTCCATATGCGCCGATCCCGATCGCTCCCCCCCCGCTGCTCCCGTGGCCGGACTTGGTGCGCTTGAATACGGCCTGGATTTGCAGATCGTAGCGCACCGTCTCGCTGTCGCTGTCGCTGTCCCCCTGAAACTCGTACTCCGTTTGACCAGCGTCCATTCCGGCCACCGCCCACGGATCCTGATCCATTTCGTAGTCCACGTCCGCGGGATCCATTGCGCGTCGCTGCTGGGCTCCCAGCTGCTCCCTGCTGGCCGCCTCGCTGCTCGTATCGCGACCAATTACCTTGGCCATTATTGCTGCAGAAAACAATACGAAAATATATATCGGTAATGCAATTGCATTCTGTGCGCTGTTATCGCACAGCTATCGCGCTGTTATCGCGAGCAGTTATCGCTTACCGTAGTCTCTTCTGCAGAACTTGTTGAGATTTAACCTTTTGGTGCTTACTTTGCATTTGCCGCACTCTGCAACGAGTTTGAAGAACATTCAAATTAGAAAGCAAATTAATAAATCGAAAATAATCGAAAATTGATCGATAAATGAAATGAAGCTGAGCGGAATCGGCATGGAAATGGAAATGGAAATGGAAATGGGCATTGGTATGGGGACTGCTACTGTAGAGGGGAGTACATTGAAGCCTATACCACAATGCCCCCTTTCATTGTGTTCCCTTTTGTGGCACTCTCCCTCTTGCCATTGCCATTCCCCTTGCCCTTGCCCTAGCCCCAGCCCTTGCCCTTGCCCTACCCCGCTGCGTGCTGCTGCATTCCACTCTTCTGTGTGTTTACAATTTAAATGCGAAATTTATGTCTTTATGGCCAATGCCAATTAGCAGAAAACAGCAGAAAACATTCAGCCCCAAAGACTGCTGCTCGATCAATTTTACATTAAGTCTGCCTGCCCCCCCTGCCCCAACTGCCCACCCCTGCCCCAACTGCCACACACCACACTTCTGTTGTTGTTTTGCTTTCGTGCCTCGGGTCGCCTTTTGTGGCGACTAAAATTAGCCAGAATAAATTTTTATTTTTTTTTCTGCTGTTTTTTCGCCCATTTAGCTGCAATTTGCATTGGTGCCACCGTTCGATGCGATCGATTCGAGCGATCGATCGATCCGCAATGTCAAAGCAAACGTGACACAATTGGTGGCAGGGCAACTCGAACTCGAACATGCCACACTTCGTGGCATAAAAATGTGTATTAAATGAGGCAGCCAAACTGAATCGATCGAAACACTGAAATTGAATTTGAAAATGGAACTTAGCTTTTGCTTTTCTTTTGGCTATTTATGGTGTATCCCCCCACCACCCCACACCCCACACCCCTTAGTGGCCCTTAGTGCACTTAGTGGCCAAGGCGATATTTATTGCCGTCATTTAAAGATCATTAGCCACGCCCCACGAATGCGAAACGAACTGAAACGAAAATACATGTAGGCAAAGCCCCAGACAGGAGGACGCTCGCATGGCAAAATGTCTGAGTAATTTCTATGGGGAGGTATCGGGCGGTATCGGGCGGTATCGGGCGGTATCGGCGGCTGATATTAGATTTGATAGAACATTTATCAGATAAAAGCAAAGGCAATTACCACCATATAGAGCCCTGCCTCAAAGATTTCTGCACTTGCTCCGTCTGTCAATCAGATTTGCCCGCTCACATTTTGATTTATTTTCCCAGCCAACCCCAACACCAAACTGAATGAAAATCGCTCATAAATTTTGCACAACATCAAATTAACATGACATTAAAATTGACCTACGACCCCCCCATCGGCTGGGGGCAACAGCAACGGCAAGGCATGGGGCATGGGGCATGGCATGGCTTGGCACCTCCTTCCGACTAACTTTAAATTAACTCAAACTCGAACAGAATTTGAAATTAATTTAATAAATTATCAAATTATAAATTCATAATTAACATTCATGTTCTACGGCTGAAGCGTGGAGCGGGGGGCCGTTTGTGGTAACACCCCCCAGCAACACTCAGCCTGGCCTCCCATCACATTGTGTGCCACAGGACGAACTTTTTCGCCGTGCCCGTGCCTCGTCTATGCATGTCTATGCGTGTCCTGTGCCCGACGCCCGACTCCGACTCCGACTCTCTGTGTCCATTTGCCTAACTGAGTTCTCGGTTGCAAGGCACAGCCAAAAGGCAAACTTTCCTCCACTGACAACTTTTCCAACTTGCGCTTTTCTTTGGCAACGTTTGACAAATAAATTTAACAGGGGGGGGGTCGTTCGGTGCTCTGGCTCTTTAAAAATGTAGCCACCCTTTTTTGGGGGACTGTTGCTTGATTTGCATTTGGGGCTGATGATGGATAGCATTGGATAGTTGGTCCTGCTCCTGCACGCCTGCCACTTGCTATGCGGCAATTGCAGCCTGGGGAGCGGCAAGGCAGCCTGGAATCGATCCCAGTTGGGCGGGCGAGCGGACTGCAGCCAGAAAGTTTCCTTTGCTGCCAGTGCCAATGCCTTTTGCTGTTGTCTAACTCCAGCTCCAACTACTTTCAGTTGACATTTAATTAGGGCCATTAGATGGTATAGTTTTCGGGCACTAAAATAATAGCATTAAGACCCCAAAGGAGGGCCCACTATATTTGCAAAGAAATAGGGAAAAAACCAGGGAGGCAAAGGACGGCAAAGGGAGACTATATATTATACATCTTTTTGTTTCAAAACTCTGTTAAAACTCCATGCAAAAGTTATTCTACAGCTGTGCCAGTAACTGTTCCAGCCATAACTATTTTTGCTAGCATTTTATGGACAGCCATCAGTGCATGCAAATGAGACCCTTGAATGCCATTTATTTTTGTAGGAGAAATCTATTCAGATCAAAGCGAATGCCGAAGCCAATCGTTTGAGCTCTGCTCAAATTCTGCTAGCCCTTTGGTGACTCCATGATGGATTATCTTGAATCCTGCTTGAGCCGCTCAGTCAATTTTTGATTGTGCCCAATCCATACTTAAATTCTACTCCAGGGCCAGGTCCCTGCCCCTGCCCCACTGGAAGACCTTGCCGTGGAGCTGTTCACGCCGCCCCCGCCCTGCCGGAGCAAATAGTTGGAAGCAATTAGCGTCACCACTGGGCAACACTGCTCACTGGTCACACAGTGAGGCTTAAAAGTATGCTGCCACTGTCACTGCCACTGCTCTTGCTGCAGGCTTATTCATGGAAAATTAAATAAAAAACTTTTTTAATACATTTGCTTTGGCAAGTTTTCGCCTGCTCCTCTGTCATTCTATCTATGCTGTACGCCGCTGCTCTTTCTTTCTTTCTTTCTCTCCTGGTAGATACCCTCTACAGAGGGTAGTCTACTTTGCGGAAGATGTTTGCAACGCAGCGGGGGTGGCACACATATTATAGGCTGAAGAAAGTGGAACTTGTGATGCAAATCTTTTTATCTTTTTAATTATACAAATTGAAAGTTGATAAGTCTCCAAGTGGGATTTAAAAGTATCATAAACATAGCTGAGTATACGAGTAGACTCGTAGCACTAAATATTTGAGTGATCTGCAAGCGTATCAAAAGCTTCGTTCCTTCTAAGGCTAACCTCTCTCTCTCTTTTGTGTTGTGTGCTTTCTTCGCGCTCTGTCCTGTTGCTGCTGCTGCTGCTTTTTTTTTTGCGTTTTAGTTAAAAGTTTGTTTAGCTTTTACTTGAGCACGCGTGGCCTTGCGGAGAGGTCAGAAGTGCGAGCAGTGGAGAGGAGAGTGAGTAGAGGTGCGAGCCGTGGAGAGCGAGTAGTGGTGCGAGCGGAGGAGAGTGAGTAGAGCCGTGAGCGGAGGAGAGTGAGTAGAGCCGTGAGCGGTGGAGAGTGAGTAGAGTCGCGAGCAGTGGAGAATGGGAAAGCTCTAGAGAGCGCGAGTATAACTAAAGCTTAGAGTATGATTTATGCTGCGTGGCGCATTTTGTTTGCTTGTTGCATCCGCATCCTCCAGCCTCCATCCGCACTCGCCTCTTCCCGTTTATGTTTTTTTGTTTTTTTTTTACTGGTAACTGTAACTAAAAGTTGCGTGCAAACATTTGCGTTGTCTGTTAAGTGCCGTTGTCTCTCCATTCAACACACTCTTTTTGCCTCTCTCCCGGTTCGGTCTGCTACCTACTCCATCTCCTTCTCCTTGTTGTTTTTGTTGCTCTTTGTTTTGCGCCGGAAAACCGACAACCGACTGCACTTTAGCGGATTTGTGTTTTCTCACCCATTTGAGGGGATTACAAAAGCGCGAGCAGCAGCAAGCGCCAGAGCAAACTTTTGTCAGCGGACAGTGGCCATTCGCTAAGTGGAAAGCATGACGAGGAAAGGAAGCCAAAGGATGATGAAGAATACTTTGTGGTGGGGTTTCTTAGTGCGCTCGAGAGCCGTGTGGAATCGCTGCCAGAGAGCGCTTACAGTGCGCTGTAACCGAGGAGCGTGCACAGACTGTTAACGGTGTGCGGTAACAGACTTTAAGCCTGGAGTGCGGTAACAGACTTTAAGCTTGTAGTGTTAACAAAGGAGAGATCCACTGTACAACCAGCAGTTGGAAAAAGCAAGCAGAGCATTCACTGTACATCTAGCAGGTAGAGCAAGCAGAACATTCACTGTACACTCAGTAGTTGGAGGAAGGAAGGAAGCAGGGGTAGATGACATGAACGAATCCCATCGGTTTGGGGATCGGCATTGGTGAGGGATGTTGATTTGGATTTTGGTGGGTAGGTGGGTGGGTGGGTAGGTGTTAGCACACAACAACAGATAGATATGGATATGAGAGGAGAGCACTTACTTACCCCTGCCGCCCTCGGTGCGGTAGTATGGGGATTGGGCGGCCGCCGATGCGGAGCCGCCACCACGATTATTGGCAACGTCTGCAGTGGGCTCATGCTCGTCCGGCTCAGGTGCGGTATTCTGTGTGTCCAACATGTTGATCATGCGCGGTGGTTGCTCTGCGGAATAGAATGGGGGAAACATATACATTACATTATTGTAGATTTATATGCTAAGAAATGAATTATGTATATATGTATGTATGTACATATGTATATATGTGTTTATGTGTCTTGTTCGTTACTCACTTATGCATGGGGCAATGTGGGAGCGACTCTGTTGATAGCCACGTGCACAGCGGTTGCAGGTCAGTCCGGTCACTCCGTCCTTGCAGGCACATTGACCGCTGGTGCTGTTGCAGATCTTGCCAGATGAACCGATCGGATGGCACTCGCAGGCTGCAAAAAGAACAAGAAACACAATCAATGGCGCTGGCAGATAAAGATGCAAAATGCAAAGTGCAAAGGGAAAACAAGATGCAGATGTTCTTGGCAGCAGATATTTTCTTGTGTGTTTTGGGATCGTGTTGAGAGCTTAATGGAACCCGGTCAGCACTTCAAAGCCAACCCAAAGGCGATTGCTATCTGCACAATCCGATTGCCAAATGGTACGAGCCGCCCACTGCCCACTTGAGTTTTACTTAAAGTTCTTTCAAGTTCTCTCTCTGATTTTCTCTGATTTTCTCTGTCCCCCTTCAGCACATTCGTTTATGGGCCGTGGAAATGTGCATTAACAGATACGATTACACGGATCCGGGCTGCCCGGCTGCGCTGCCCTTATGGCCAATGCCTTCTGCCTTCTGTCCAGTGCACACGGCTGCCAGTCGGCGGATAGTCCCTTCCATCTTTCCGCCACACGCTTAATGGCGAATGAAAGTGTGAGAGTGTGAAAGTGCTCGCTCAGCATGAAATCTCCCTCAGCTGCCCATGGACTGCGTCACAGCGTCACTCTCCTTGAACCTCTATATCTGAGTGGTTTCGGCAGGATCCAGCTGTTGATCAACTACAACATCAATAAGAATCTCCGACAGAAGCCTGAACATAGCTGAATTTTCTATTATTTTTCCTTTAATCTAGCTGCGCTTTTTATTTTATTTTCAACGCAAATTGTAAAATCTTTAAAAAATATAAATCCCTTTTTTGTACCTTACCCAAATCCCTGCCAAATTTGTGTTCGCTCCGTGAAAGTAAATTCTCTTTTTTTTCTACATATATACATACATACAATATGGAGAGTATTTTTCATTATATTTGTGGTGCAGCCAGCGGCCACTTTCGGAGCACAAAGGCAAAGACAGCGCCAAAGTGCAAACTTCATCTTTTATTTCACATTTTGCAGCTCTGTTCTTTCCCGGTTTCCATTCGGTCTTATGTGTGTCATGTGTCTGTGTGTGTGTGTGTGTGTGTGTGTGCACTATTATGAAGGACTTTGCAGTTGTTTCGCTGTCATAGCAGTCCCCCTCCCACCCAACCCACACACACACACACACAAAGACACTCTTAGGAGAGCTCAAAGCGGTCGCTGCTTTTCCCTTTGGTTTGTTTAGTTAATAAGCCGCTTTTGGCCACATTTAATGGGTCTTTGCGCTTGGCTCGTTTGCCCAGAAGCTGTTGCATATTTAAAGATTTAAGTTGTGTGCGGACACAGCATGGGGCATGTTCAGCAGTAGTTATAGGCCTGCACTCGTACGAGTGTGTGGCAACACCCACACCACCATTCACTCACTGCTCTATAGAGTATGTATCCTCCTGCTCTCCCACTCCCACTCCCTCTCTCTCTCTCTCTCTTGCTCTTACTCTACTATATAATAGTCTCTGCTTCTCTTCTACCTTTGTTTGTTGCTGTCTCTCTCACTGGTTTCGTGAGTGCGTGCAACATTTGGTAATTTAATCCGATTTACAATAAATTAAATGCGATTTATATGCACACAGTGACACATCCGGATGATAACTACAACAACAACAACAACAACAACAACAATAATAGTATGTGTACGAGGCAGCAACAACAACTACAACAATGACAACAGGCAACAGACAATAATTACTTGCAACAACAGCAGCAACAATATGGTGTGTCCATTGTTGCCCCAAAGGGCGTCTCGCGGTCCCTTCTGGACAGAGTCCATGGCACGGCCACAGTGGCACAAGCCACACGCAACTTTGGACACAACAAATACAGCCATGGAGAGCGCGGTTTAAGGCCAAAGCGAATGAAAAGCCATTTGGAGTTGCAATTAAAACGAAATAAGAATTTCTAGCAAATGCAGTGCGCTCGATTTTTGCTTTAAAAAATACCCAAAGTCTACGAATTTCCAGGATTAAGTTTTAGAAGAACTAATTGGGTTTTCTATTGGCCTAGCTGCAAATATCCAAGCCCATTTTGAGGCTTAGCAGCTATGTTTCCAGCATTTAGGAACAAACAAACAATTTGCAGTCTCAAATGAAAAATAACTCAAAATTCAGATTTATTTGCAACGATATTTGTGTGAGTTTTAGTTTGAATTTTAGTTTGTCTATAAAGCATAAGAAAACTTAATACCTGGTCGAAAATAAATATTGGGACACTCAACTGTGTAAATACATCTACTTTTTTTTTCCAATTTTTTATATAATATTTTAATATTGAACTAAATTCCACAAAATATCGCTCTTTGTTTAAATTGGTTTCTAGCATTAAAATATAATTGTAGATAAAATAATGGTCGAATATATCAGAAAAAAAACATGTTTATGATTTTATAATATATAAATACATATATTAATTAAACATATGCTATAGGCCAGTAGGATAGTGGGGGGAGGCTGGCAGAAAAAAGAAACACTCAATTTTTAATTGCGTGCTAACTACGTAATAATAATAATAATAATTAAATATATAAATTTATATTTCTGTTATTATTTTATTTGAATTTCTTTAAAGTTAGAGGTGCGGCAAAAAATGCCTCCAACTAGTCGGCTACAAGTTTTATACGATTACGTATTCGACATGACCTTTGGCCACTGTGCAGTATGGTGGGCTGTCGTGTGGGGCAGCACAATATGACAATGCCGCTATCTGCGAACAGCGGACGCATCGCAGTGTGGTGGGGCCAGCAGGATAGTGGGGGGAGCTCTCACGGATATGGTTAAAATGCAAAAGCCAGAAAAAAGCCAGGCGAGAGAGAGAGAGAGGGAGAGAGAAAAGCGTTGCGAACGAGTTCATTACGCATACCCCCGTATCGTGGCATTGGCATCCATTTCTACCCATCCATTGCCCTGTCCTGCCCTGCCCTGCCCTGCCCTGCCATATAACCCAGGCATAGCCCTTCCGTATCCGTATCCATTGGCGCACTCCATATGCTCCGCTCTGCGTTTTTCTTCTCATTTTCCATTTCCCAATCGTATGTGTGTGTGCTGCGTTTTTTTTGTTGTTTTTGTTTCGTGCATGTGGTCCATTGACCGAGGGAAAAGATTATGAATTTTCATTATAACGAGCCAACAGAGGGAATCCATTCGAGTATTCCCATTCGAGTAGCTTCATTTTCGGATAGTTGGCGCTGCTACCCTACCCCCTACCCCCTTCGCCCCTTTGCATTTCTATTTAATTATCCGAATGGAGGAGGAATGAATCCCTGATGATTCAGCTTTTGGCAGCGCTGCAGCGGTGCAGCAAAGGGAAGCCCTTTCACCAGAGAGCTCTTCATTTCATTGCGTTCACTCTGTGTCTCTGTGTTTTGTGTACTCCAGCTGAGGTTCGAGCAGACGACCCAAATGGCAGTATGCCTTGAATCATTTTACAATCAAAAACAACAAAACAACAAAACAAAAAAGAGACAAAGAAGCGCGAGCCTCTCGTGTAACCTGTCATTTGTTGCCGCTTATCCAGATCGATTCGGGTCAGGGTTCCTCGAAATAAATGAGCCTCCGCATGGGACATGCGACACAAATGAATCATTTAGGGCCTCCCCCCCCTGTGAATGATTATTCAGGGGAATTAATTTGCTATGATATAATGCCAACAGGCTAAGGATTCGTTTGATGCACTTATTCCATGTGCCTTTTGGTGCTCGTACCATCCTCCATCTAAAGCAAAATGAGTCATTAAATGTATGTACATTCATTTCCTTGATTGAATCTTGATTCATGATTCACAAAGTACTCGCTTTTTTTGTGCATCCTGTTGGCATTCATAAACACAAAAAATTATGAACTCAATTATGATTGATTCATTTTTCCTGCTGCTGCTGCTGCATCATTCATTTCTCCCGCCACAGCACTCATTAGATCATCGATTGGAAGTGAATTTCTGCTGTGAATATTACGCCATTTGAATGGCTCATTAAATGCCTGAGTACGGTTAAATTCAGTTATATATATATCCGATATGTACACATGTTTATTCACAGGTAAGTTTTTTATGGCTGCTGCTGCTGCTGCTGCTGCTGCTGCTATGTTGTATTTATGTATCGATCATTCGCACGAAAATTTCCCCCATGGCCACGAAATTTATATATACATATATAGTGTGTGCTTTCAGCTGGTTGCTTTCCCTTTACTCATTCGGCATTTTCCATATTCCATTTTCCATTTCCAGTCAGCCTTAAAAGCAGCCACAACGTGTGCACTTTTTATTTATTTTCCTTGGCTCAAAAAATTAATTAAGCAAAAGCTGAACGCACCCACAAAAGCATTCAAAACTAAACAGAAAAATGGAGAAAAATAAGAAAACAAAAGGGGGTGTGGCTATCCTTTGAGGGACTGTGTGTGGCAGATTGCAGAAAAATTACTTAAGAATATAGGTTAAAATAATTCCACTAAAATACTCAATAATATCCACGGGCATATTTACTTTATGAGTTCAAAGTTTGGCCTTTTTTCCGGGCACACACACATCTGGTAAAAATCATAATACTCTCGCGAGCAAAAGGGTATAACAAGGCACTACGCAAAGTGTAAACATCATAAAGCAAATCAAGCGCTATATGTTATTGTTTATTTCAAGTTTGCGCAAGCGAATCCAGCCACTCAACCCCACTCTACGAGCCAACAAATTCAACGCAAAAGTCGTCTGCCTCGACCATCAATTGCCATAAAATATGTTACCCAAAAACGGTTCTAGTCCAGGGGAAAAGAGGCTAAAACTGTTGGCCATCCGCACAGCTGGCACTGCCACTGCTGTTGCTGTTGCTGTTGCTGCTACTTCGACTGGCTGCTGTTTGTTGTTATTAGAGAGGCCAAAATCCCCCGCCACTCCCGCGAGAATAATGCAATTTTTTCCAAAGAAAAACCAAACAGAACTGAAGAATTATGAAGAAGATATTCCAGACCAGAATCGAATGATTTGCAGTGAGAGATTACACCTGACCACGTGGGGTGGTGTGGTGGGGGGTGGTGTGGTGTGGTGGAAACTGAACATT